GGCGAGTTGTCATATGAAGTGGTGGCAACTAGTAGTGTCCATCAGGGATGTCTTCTATACCTATTTCTATTCAATTTCATCATAGATGTACTAATGAACTTAAACCCTAAGTGAATTCAGCGACTCAGGGATTGATATGTTACCAGGAAATAATCTCGTTGACTTAAAAAATGCAGATGATATAGTATTCCTACGTGAAGACGCTGACAAAATACAGTCTCCTGAACACCTTAAGCTGCAATCTGCGAATGTTTGGCATGTGATTCACTCACGTCAAATGTAAGATGATGCTACAGGACTGCACTAGATCGACTCCTAGCTTAAACATAGGGAGTAAAATGGTAGAGCACCTTGACCACTGCACTCATTTGGGAGTTGCATCAGCCAGTGACAGCGGGTTGATCACTGACGAAATCTCACCACAGATAAAGAAGGCTCGTTTCGCATATGCCAGTTTACGCCGTCTCTGGCGTAGACGTGATATCCGGCTGGCTATCGACCAAAGAACGTGTGTACTGCTCAGCAGTCCGCTCCGTCCTCTTTTATGACTGTGATGTATAGTGGACATTGGAAGTGGAAGATAAGAAAATCCAGGCTAGCTGTCTTTGATCATAGGTGTCTGAGTTCTGACTACCGTGTGAAGTGGAAACAGTGGTTAGAGACAAATGGTGATATGGCTGAACATCATTCTCAATGGCTGGCGTAGATGCATCCACTCCTTGTGACTTGTAATTTGCAATAAAACTATATTGTTCTTCGATATTACAATTATTTTTGCCTCCTATCTCTGTTTTGTATTTATTTTTACTTTCTTCTCTGGTTTTGTGTGCTGAGTGTCGACTTGAACTGCTGCACATTTGTGCAAAGTCTTGTGTTGAAACCAGTCAGTCAGGATCACATGCGTGATTGGTAAGTGTTCCACTATTAACTGATCTCAGGATGTACAAAATACTATTCTAATATTCATGCCTATCATTTTGGTCTAAAACACAAAGCAAATAATATTTACACTATATTTTGATTGATGACGCCGTCATCCTATTTAGCATTAATCGGCCAGATTTACCTACAGATTAGGTTCCACCGTTAGCTGCCAGGAAGACAGCAGTACTAGATGAATTCCTCGGGCAGCACTGAAAACGGACCAAGACCTTAACAAATATGACACGCCACTATAGCAGATAAATTTGATGGGTCGAAAGGTACCTACTGACTAGAAGAAAGGTTACATTGTCAAACTATCAAAGAAGGGTAATTTTAGATTTAGCGAAAACTGGCGTGGAATGTAGCTCCTATCCACCCTGAGTAAAATATTAAATCGCATCATTCTAGAGAGACTAAAAGATGCTTTGGATATAAACCATCGACCCAAACGAAAACATGGCACCAGTCAATGAAATCTACAACAATTAGTCTAAGCCACGTAGGAAGGTGTAGCCTTCCTGGTTGGGGTCCTCGGGATGGTAAAAACCAATGGTTGGAAACAATTGGTGACATGGCTCAAAATCGTTCTCAGTGGCGCAGATACATCCATTCCTTGTGGCTTATGACTTCCAATGAAACTGTTTTGTTCTTCGTTATTACTATACCTTTGTCTCACGCCTCTGTTTACTGTCTATATTATGCATTTCTCCTCCTTTCTTCACTTGCTTTGTGTGCTACATGGAGTGTGGCGACTTGAACTGCCGCACATATGTGCAAAGTTCTATGTCGAAAACAGACAAACCTTCGACCGGAACAAGCTGGGTTTAGGAAAAGTAAATAATATGTGGGTCAAATTGCTACTCTACGCATCCTCATCGTACAGTACCTCGAATGGCAGTCAAACCTTTACGTCAACTTCATTGACTTTGAAAATGCCTTCGACAGCGCTGAAAGTGGGGTAGTTTGGAAACTGCTTCAACACTACGGAGTGCCGCAAACCTTTATAAATATTATTATGGAATAGATAACACACATTTGTATCAAGTTCGAACCATAGATTCACTCAAGCAAGTAGTACTTCTAGTTTGAATTTTTTGAATCATAACACAATGAGATGACTAGTAATTCCTTATCAATTGATAGATTCTTACATTATCAATTAAACTTAATGGTTACAAGCAAAATTCCAGTCACTTTACTTCCACAGAAGTTTGTCAACTACACTTGTGTGCTCAACGAATTCGAATGGAATTAAATATTTATATTTGATTGAGAATAAAATTACTGGAAGGAGTAACTAATTGCTGAATGTCTACTATTTTTCGGGAAAAACATACATACACGAATTCACCATATCAGGAATTTAGAGTTTACCGGTGTAAACACAAATCTGACATCCATTACACAACACCACTTGATAAAAAGTTCAGACAGGAGTTTGAATTATTTTATTTCACATATCCTAAAAATGGTATCAAATGTTTACCTGTCATCTAGCATTTTATAATTGTAAAACTGGTTATCCACAACGAACGCACTTTAACAACCCATGATTAGACGCTGAATCATATTCTAAGTAAGCCTATATATACAATATTGAAGTAGCTAGATATAATCGACTAATAAAGACTAGGTACAGAGGGCTGATGAATGAATTGTGAAACAAAGAAGTGAAAATGAGAAGATTTAAATCAAAGACTTGTAGATTAGCATATCATCAATCTGACTACCTATTAAGGTATGAGATTCAGTCGACGATTGGGTTCGAGTCGATAGTGTACCAAATTGGCTATCAACAATCATAAGAGGCCTAGTGTAGGTGTTTGTGATTCGGTAATTATCCTACTAAGCTAAAACCACTCTACTAAATGAAAACTATGTTAGGCATTCTTATCAAGAATTCTGATGCGATCTAGTAAGATTTCACCTGATTAGGTACTGTAAGGTGGATGTGGTCATATTACGTGGAAAACGGAAGATAATAATATAGAAAGGAGCACTATATATATCAAGTCCAGAGAATATATATTTTTAAACTCTGAAAATAGCTTTATTCGGCTTCATACATCCTAATCTTCCTGATATTCTCGCTGGTGACTTGGAAGGTTATCTGTAAATACAGCCTGCTGAATTGGTCAGGAAAGTGCAACAGATTGCACTAGTCAAACCTATAATCACAGTGTTTTCGCTAGTTCCTACTTACAAAAATCCGACCAATAAAATTTTTGTTCTTCACTTCTTTTTGTAGCTATCTGATCTGATTACAGCTTTTACAGATACAGATTTAAAACTGATTACATGTTGTATAAAAATGTTCAGTGAATCGAAGAAATTAGCATCACACAATCTACTTAGTTCAGAAGCAGATTAGACAGACTACTTCATGTAATAAGAAGTTAAAGAGAAAATCAAATAAACTGCCATAAGCTATTCCACACATGCGGTTTCCTAAATAATTTTCCATACAGCAAGACAGATCAAATTCCTAGTATGAGACATCATTTTATCAAATAGATTGTTTATTACCAGCTTATCAGAGAACTGGAACACAACATGCTTAAACTGTTGGAAAGAAAGCACAGGAAATACTGTGATATGGAGAATCCTAAATATCGAAAGCTAAAACATCATGGTCAATTTTATGCGCTACCAAATAGAAGGTCCAAAAGGCGTAAACCAAGGGAGAAGGAAGAGAGGAAATAAAATAACTATTAATAGCCCAAGAGACTACTTAACAACTGGAGGAAGTGCACTTCATAAGATTTCTAGCGATATTCTTAGAATAACATTTAAAAGCCTTTTCTCAACCCTTCCAATGTACTTGCAATGAATATCTTGACAATTAAGACATTTTGGTAGAAACTCCCCACTCCTGAAATGTATTCTTTATTGTTTGACTACATTAACACTATTTAGGGGTTTCATAATTTGTATCCAGTATATTGGAGTTTGAAATAAACAAACAAACAATGAAATAGACGAATGAAACATACGCAATGTGACAATCAGTGGTTTGTCAAAAATAGTAAGGTATTATTGCCATGTTATCATGACAATGCTGCGTCAATTTTAATAGAATTTTCGCTAATATTATTATTCCCAAGTGGAACATTTGGCTTCGACAACACACATCTCTATTCCGCCTAGTTCTATGCAGTCGTCTTTAGTTGGTTTCACGATTGCCAATAAGCTCTCATCTACTCCATGTCATCCTTAAACGGCCAACTCGTCGTTTCCTTATTCTGGTTCCACTCGATGCGACGTCACTCAACCCAACTCAATGCGCAATCTTTGTTAAGAAACCTTATGAAAGATTCTTATGTCAAAGTAATTTTTCAGATGATACATGGTAATTATATTAATGCTTGAATCAAAAACTATGAAATGGACAAAATACTATACTTTTGTGTGATTTCATATCCTATATATGAATTAATTAAACAGTTTCGTGAGTTAAGCATTAGACAACGAAGGTGGAAATCATACTAAAAGTATTATATTTAGGATATTCGCATAAGCTTATATTTAAGGCTAGTATGGAAATGATTATTTTTTCGTTGAAACGATTATCACCCAACGAAAAATCTAGCGCAACATCCACATTTAGAGCTATAAGCATTCACTATCACTCTACGAACGACAAAGTTCAATATCAGCATAGAATTGCAGAAAATAGTTGGAGGAATGAAGGAGTACAAAATGATAATATATGGTTGATATAGCTGTTATCGATAATCTCACGGCTTCACTCACTATTCATCTTTTATAGTTTACAAGCAATGTTCAAGAAACGTGCAATTGCTCACTTTGTGATTTACAGAACTTTTCTGGAAGCGATACAAGAAACATTATTGGAACTTTCGATGGTTGGTTTATCAATACTGCTTTTAAGTGAACTTGATGTTATTTGGATAGCGGTAGCTAGTAGTGCAATTTACGATATCCAATTTTTATGGTTTAACAACTTACCAGTACACACTAATATTCTCCACAGTTTGAAGTCAAACAACAAATGACCCAAGATGCTAGTTAACTGCACCGAATGCTTCAGTATTATGATTCTCCTCCACCTTCTTTCAAACTTTCTTGACTTTAATGCCTAAGTATAAAAATGAAATGGTATTTGAATATAGAAGCTCAAAAGGACAGCAATAAATTCCAACAAAATTCCTCAGGTCAGAGTAAGTGGACAAGTTGGCACCGAAACTTCCCGAGACGACCACAAAAAACTTAACATAATGCCTGTAAGTTCATTTACATATAATTCGAAGACGTAAAGAATAGTTTATCAGATTATTCAAGTGCAAGACATAATTGAAAGCAAAATGATGGAGTGGTAAAGTAACAAACTGAAAGAAAATACTTTCTATCAACGAAGTTGCATAAAATCGCTGAAAAGGATGCGATAGAATAAGAACTTCAAAAACTATTAGAGAAAGTTCCGTGCTGAATCAAAGTACTGCCTATGTAGAGAACTCCACTGTGAGCTAAACATAAAATATCAGAACCGTGAAATTCATAATTCCAAGTTCTAGTCACCCGAATATGTGACCATGAATATACACTTATTCAGTATACAATATTTTGTTTTATGCCATATCTGGCACACACCAACTCATGCATGTACACTGGTCTCATAAAGGTAAAAATTGTTAAAAAATCAATACGATAGAAAGTTGACTAAAAATGAATGTTATCAAAATAACATTGCCTACACTTGTTATGAATCTCACTCTTTGGCACTCTATTTTTCGCCGTAAGGATCGATAAAGCATCTTTTTCTGGAACCTTAACATAGCAGTAATGCGATGTAACCATCGACTACAGTTTATTATAAGTACGAAAGCGTGAAATTAATGATAAGGTATGGCATTAAATCCCACGTTTTATGAAATTGATTTTACAATCTATTCAACAAACAATAAACATATTTCCTTTAAAAAAAATAATAAATTAAATGCTAGGAAAAACTTATGTCTACACTTCAATACCTTTTTATACTTTTCAATGTTTTCATTTCTTTGGCATTGAAGAGAAAACTGCTGTTCGTCATATCTCAAATATTATTTTTTTGTATTTCAAAGTTTACATTTCAAAACTTAGTTTTGGGAATTAGATTATTTAGTAGTACCACTTAAATCAACAGATACACGATCCTAATAGTGTGAAGCTACTGACAAATACTTTGAAAATACGTCTTAGGATGTTTCGCCTACCTTTTGCACCTATCAATTAAAACGACTTCACACGTATGATATGCATGAGAACTGTTTAAAAATAAAATGATAGTTATTATCCCTGAGATACCAATCACTCACAAAACTTCGGAATGCATATAAAGGTTTGTTTGGTGTTTACTAAACCATGTAGTTTGATAAAATATGTGACTGTATATCCATGAGTGAGTATTTTGCACCACAGCTCATTACTAAAGTCTCCTTATTTTTAGGATATTCACAGTTGAAAATTATGGGACACTGTACATTAAAGAATTTCTGTCGGAGACTTCTGAAGTGAAGCAATTGATTAGTCAGTATCAAAACGTTGAAAAAAAGGATAACCCAATAGGTGAGAACGTGAACACCCATAGACTGAAACATATTACACAAACCAAATCATTTCTGATCAGCAAAAATGATTTGTATGGAATTAAATCTTAAGGAACTCTCTATTAACTAAATTAATGACAGAATTTGAGCATTGCCGTAGAGTGTAATTCCAAAATCGAATAATACCACTTGATTTAGAAAGCAGTGATACAGCACCGGAGATATTTATGAAATTACTTGATGTTGGTGATTAATGTTTTAATAGTCCAAAAGGGCGTTGAAGGTGGTTACGAATATAGGTGATATTGAAAGAAAATTCCTAAGAAAGGAGTCTTAATTGGGTAGCGAACACCAAAAATTCTGTACACTAGATACTACAAAACATGTATTTACTAACCATAAGTATATTGACAGACAACATCGTATCAATTTATTTGATCCTGCCATTACATTATATGGTTATCTTTAAATGTCATTCTATATGGTTTAGGCAAAGACTACTCATGCATATCTTGTTTTACCGATTTCGTGCTGTCACTTCTCTTTACATACAGACCCAGCACAGGCTGAATCTTGTATTTCTCTACAGACTTTATAATATCTGTTGTTTCATGAGTCGACGTTCCGACGGAAATAAGAGAAACCAATACTATTGTCAAATGGTAGTTCTTTTAACTCATAAACAGACTTTTATATTGATTCATCAGGATTCCTAATTATCATCCTTTGATAGATGTCGTAATTTCCAGTTCCTGAACTGTCATACACGCTTGACTTATTTCCTAAAAAAAGATTGTCCTTGAACTAACTCTTTTTCAATATGAGTATATCAATTCAACATAATCTTCCATAAATCTGCTTGTTAATGATGTCAGCAAAAGCCATAATATATCCATTTCCTCATCCCCAATTGTACAATTCAATTAAGGTACTTTTACTAATTAAATGCGACGAAAATTCAACATAATGGTTTTTTTCTTTCTACTCATTTAAATGGCATTCCATTTAATTACATTTACATAGTTTCAAAGTACTTCATTTCCTTTTTAATGCTGAAATACTGCAACGGTGATAATATAACAATCAGTAAATTGCCATAAATCAAAAGAATCTACAACACGGAATTATGTTTTTAGTGATCGAGCTAGAATCCAGCAATAACTAACATTCCGAGCTTCTAAATAAATCATTGTTAAAAATTTCACACTAACTAGACCTAGATAATGGGAAGCTGGATAAAAGAACTCGCTATTTTTAGCAACGAACAATCTGAACTAGTACGATTGTATACAAAGTTGTACTTGTAAATTTAAAACTGAAGAACAATTGTTTTGGAGTTCTATAAGCTACAAAGAAGTAACTCAACCACAACAATTTATCAGGTATTTTCCATGTTTTGTGGTATAACCCAACTACATATTAAAGTGACCTTAAAAATGTTTTACATAACTTCTTTTGCAATCATTTCTATTTATTTATTTAATATTAATAATAATCAGATAATTTTAAAGAAGATATAACAGAGAACACTGAAGCAATATGACGTGCAGTAAAACGACTGAACTTGCAAGAATCAAACTGAAAAACAAAACAAATGCTATTTGCACATACCAACTTGAATACATGCTGCGTCAAAGTGCACTGATTCTAGACTCTTCACAACAAAGTTATTACCACTTTACTTTGTAGTGTGATTGCGAGATATGCTGCTGTCTGATAAGATGTTGGGTGATATCGCAGTCTAACAAACACGTTGCGAATGAGTCATTCCTATTAGGTAGAGACTAAAATCACTGCTTGCTATACTTAGTGTGGGTGGAAGTTTGGACGCTTAACCAGGAAATAAATCCATTAATATGACTAGTCTCAGTTTACAATTAAACGATAAACCCCAGTATGACATTTAACATCGTATAGGAACAGTATTTCTGATAAACTTATAAATCCAAGAAAGCCCTCGACATCCTAGTGAGACAAACTGAATTTACACTTATTTTGATCAGAGAAAACCAGAAATTTATATTCTCAATTACTGCAATCAAATAACAATGCAGAATGTGATATTTCAAATATTCCAAAGTAAACCTAAATACTAGTCTATCCACCAAGGCTACAACGGGTATTTAGATTATATACTTTAAGAGGAAAAATCAATCACATGATACACATATTCAATAAATCGTACATTTGAAGCGATCAATTTCTATTCTTTGAATGAGTCAAAGCATCTCGGATCAGTGTACTATTCTGCTTACTTTTTTTCATCCAGAAAATAAAACATCTCTTCACTGGAAATTGCACTGCCTTCCGGAATAATTCATGAAATGATGAATTTGGAATACAGAGTGAAGGAAATATATAACTACTGACAGCCAAGTGGAAAAAAGAAGTGAGCACCGAAACACTGACTTTAAAGTTATTACCATATATGGATACTAACTGATGTTTGGTTGCAATAGTTTCTTATGTTTAGTTCAGAATATTTCCTAATTATAAATGGAAATAAATCAGGAATCAATGCAGACTACTGCAACCGAACGAGAGAAATTATATGCCTACACAAGACAGAGTATGAAGCTATGGATTTTTGCATACAAGAAAGGTAATAACATGAAATTTGCTAAAATCAGTATGAGTAATTGCTTATTTAGAAATACATGAATGAACGCATATGAGTATCAGAAGTGGTCTCCTAGTGTTATATAAGCAATATTACCTTTTTCCAGGATATTTGTCGTGAGTGGTTCTATTTTGGAACCTGTAATCCGATAACCGAAAGTATCCTAACTTCCAGTTCTCACCTACTACCACAAAAAATCATCACTTCGGCATCATGAGACAAGAAATTTTTCTCCGTGCGGCAATAGAATAAATAACTGGGAAGCAGTCTAGTTTGTTGCAACTCACTCGATGAATGCACACAGAGGTCACTTTTAAAAGATACTGGATGTACAAGTTCTTCGAGTCCAACGTTATATCTCAAGCTAAGAAACAGGGCACCAAACCACTTTTAGAAACAATAAAAGTAACACTAAAGAGGTGACTTGAAGGAACTAGGACTTATTCGACGCCACTGAAGTATCAGTTTAGAATATGCACACAACCCAGTATGGAAGATATGCTTGCAGTATATTCGAGTATAAACTTATTTTTGGTCTCAATACAACTGGCCCAATGAAGTTTCATAGGGCTGGTAGAATCCCGTAATGAGAAATCTAAACAGCCATAGTGCTACTAATGGATATAAGTCCCTATTACGGCACAGTATGAGATTGGATTTTACTACAACATATATGTATTTTCAGACTGCCAGATAAATGAAATAGATAAGTAAGCTTCGCATAGACATGAGATTATTGCATAGAATACAAAAGTTAGGTGCATGTTGCTCTAACTTAATCTAACTTTATCCAAGTGACCATCAACCAGAATTATGTACAAATAATGTTCCAAGGAATCAATAATCACAGACAAGTACTCCTTCCGAACAAGCATTTAGCGGGAACCTACCTATAACGAATGACGATGTACGTAGTTTGATGTCAGATGGTTCGCCAACAGTGCCACCAAGTGTGAAGTCATACCTTCAACCTTGAAAGGTCCTTTAGAAGGGTAGGTTGACCTTACATCTTCTGTTAAGCCTGAAGGACAAAACAGCTGCACCTAAGTTAAGCAAAAAGGGTAGCAGTTGAATGTTAGAAAACGTATAAAATGTAATTCTTAACAGTGGATAATCCGAAAGGTAAGTAAATACGACGAGCAGTTATTCCTTAAGTGAAAAACTACAGAACATACGATTAAATAAAACTGGTTATGCCATACAATCAGCAGTTTGAACTCAAGTCACAAAATGACCACTTTTACCCCACTTACAAGTGGTGCATTGTGCGGATGTAGCACAATGTTTCTGCTGCCTGCCAAATTTCACCAATACTACTACAATTAAGTTCATGTTGAAGATATATTAATCGGCACTAAAGTAATAATGGTGGTATAACTTGAAATTTTAACAACCAGATAGGTGGAAATAAAGTAGAAGCACGAAATACAAAGCAAGAAACCATCTAATATACTTTGTGGAGAACGAATAAAACTTCCAACATAATTCTAACACCCACCTGTTTCCTTTTGTCAATTATGGAATAAGACAACAAAACAATCTACAATTAGATAAACCTATATATTTGAGAAATACAAATGAACTAGTTCAATAAAATAAACATTTACATTCATCGAAAATAGAGTACCATTACATTTGACAGTAAAAGTTGTTCAACAAATTGGCGATTAACTTAATATCTCATTAAAGTGCAATGCCAATATATATAAGGTGTCTGCATATTCTCATCCCACCTGCACTCACATCCGCAGTACATAAGAGAAAGCCAAATGCAAGTACAATCATGCCGTATGGTGACAATGTGGCAAATGTTCGCGTAGTGATGCAAACGCAGAATGTTGCTACGACGATGAGACGATTCTAGCAGTCATTCATACACTGTCTGATTTGTTAATATGGGAAAAAACCACCCATTGAAGTTGCTGATATTAGGACTTTCGATGGATATATAGGGGAAGCAACTGATTCGAGATGCAAATTTAACTTTACCGTTGTTTACGGTACAGTCAGTATTGCATGCCCGTACACTGAATAGATATCTATGAAGAGAAACAAAACTACGCCTCCAAAATGCTGATTAGTAATGAAAATAAGGAAGAGGTATTTAGGGTACAAAATGTTTCCTCAGTTCTGCCCAAATAAAATATGTCTCATTTCTAACTTTCCAATTAACAGGATCATTGCCCAGTACTTGCTTTGTAAATGCACAAGACTGGTCAGTTTCGGCAATAGGAACAGGATGTGTTGAGTATCCTTTACCCAGAATTGCAAAATGTCTGGATACATGTTTACAAACCCTTTCGACAGTACCCCATATACTACCTCCGCACTAGGTATTCCCCAGAGAGGAAAACCGTTGCGACTACAGTATGTTGGATTACCTGAACACTGTAATATTTGGGAAAACATCCAAAGTAACAAAATTCATACTGGTTGTCCTTAGTTTGAAAGCAAGCAGTACTACAAAACTGTAACGAATAGCTTCGCCCACTGTGCCAGGCTCCTCATGGAAGACCGAACTTCATAGACTTTATAACATCATCTAGACAGTTGAGATAAGCAACTGATACTCTCTGATGTAATCACAGCAAGTTACTGCTGAAGTTTCAGTTGTGCAAAAGGTTGGGGTGTTTCAGAAATCTCAGGAACTACAACATAATTCTTATGTAAGTCTGCAACTAGGTAGCACCATAGATTAATGTTACTACTAGTTTACAAACAAGCGAGAACTACTTCACATTTGACTAGAATGAAAGCTTGCAGCTTATTTGCATAGAAGTCAAACTCATTATATTGGATATCTGAACTGATAGCGGAACCGCAATTAGTACTAGGAAAGCTGCACATCGGTCTAAATGAGAAGGGCAATTACAAAACAGCAACTCAACTGTCGAAATTCATTGTAGGTAGAACATCTTTAGGAGGCTTTGACAAATGTCTCCTTGTTATAAATGTTAAAATTTATAATAAATACATTTAATGCAACCGTTTTAATTACTTAGGTTATGCGTCGAAATAACTTATGCTAGTATTAACTAGTAGTCGTACTCTTATGATGAAATCATGTACACCAGAAAATCACAACTTAAGCACTGTTCGAAATATAGTGATGGCGTCTCGCCCATGCATCACTATTTGTTAACAGGGTATAAGTCAGTGAAACAAGCAACTCAACACTCGGATCGAGTAGCAATCCCTAAATGCGAGCACGAAACATTGATGCAAGGTTGGTATATCACTAGCAGGTCTACACAACAGATGTACATGACATATGGCTTCGGAAATGTGTAACAAGAATGGCTATAATTATATGTTTACGATAGTAGTGATGCTGAAAGCACCTCTACGATGATACTACACTGAGGGGCCAATAGGCCGCTTTATGTAATCGTTAGTCATATCAAAATCACTTGCTTATATTGATAAATTCATCAACAAGATGCATTATTTATAACAAAGGTTTGTGCTTATCTTGAGACCTAGACCTCAGCAATGTTTAGAGGCATCCACAGACGTATGATGAGGCAATGACCGGATGAAGCCGGTTCGTGGCCTCAACAGTGGGCAACCATCTGTCTACAGAAGATTACGTTACTGTCACTAACGCAAAAGTAATGATTTCTGGTACAATTTATATTTGGAAAAAGACAAATGGACAATGGAGACATTGGACGGAGTCTTGCAACGCATTAAAATCGAGTAAAGTCACATATACGAATGAAAGCGAACAAATTAACGTCTATTTATCGCAAGACCGGAAGATCGGGTGCAAGACTGCTGACACTAGCCAATTAACGTTGATGCGAATGATGAACAGATAACGAGTAATAAATGCAAACGATTCTCGCCTACGTGATTTGCAGTTGCCTCGCATTTGATCTCACGATACGTTTCTGAAATGTTAGGTAAACTTAGGTTAAGTATGGGATCGAAAATTTGACGGAATGTCAACGCACAGATCTATGCTACGCAGAAACGGTAAACAAGACTTTCAAGTAACAAACGATTGCGCTCACATGAAGCCAGTCTACTGGAGACTGCAGGTCATAACTAATGTGACGAAGAAAACTCACCTTGTTTATGGGCGACCATAGTTGTACCTTAAAGTTGACATTATTGCAAGAAATTCCAAGAGACCTACCCTGATCTTGGCGGGGCGGGAGATCTGCTGTCCATGCCGTAATCATAATAACTGTAGTCGTAGCCAGAATCATAATTTGATATTCCTCTGTCACTATCTCTGTAGTCACTAAAGGCAATGAATATCCTTAAATGACACTTACTCATAAGTCCCACTGCTGTAGCTTCCGTACGTGTCATAATAGTCTCTTTCTCGTGATGGCCCAGAAGGGGGTGGTGGCTCTCGGTACCGATCATAATCCCCATACCCATCATAACTGGACCTCGGGGGAGCAGGCTTTGAGGGGTAGTCTCTGACAGGAGAGATGGGTTCTGGAGGGGGAGGTCCGCGGTACCCGGAACCATGGGGTGGCGGCGGAGGCTCTCGACTTGGACCTCGAGCCATCGACCTTGGCGGCTCCCCACGGTCAGCTGGTGGATATCTACCATTAGCACCATTTGGAGGGTAGTCGTAACCTGAAGTCTTAAAAAAGCCCTAAGCTACTTACCACGTGAACTGCTGCGCGGTGGCGGACCATATGGACCACTATAACCATCATTCCAAGCAGGGCCATAACGGCCCATTCGTGGAGGTGGAGGACCGGAGTTCATGTAGCGGGGAGGAGGCTGTCCACGCTGACCTCTATCTGTAGGATAGTCACGATAACGACCATCGTTTCTACGCCTTGCAGGCCCAGGACCCCCACCACGTTTCCCGTGACTTCGCTCAACATTGATCTTGACTCCATCGAGAAAAGCGTTCTGGAGACCTGCGATAGCTGCCTCAGCTTCGGACTCTTTCTCCATGTGCTACAAATCTCCAGATATAACCAAGCCAACATACCACAAAACCGAAGTTGTTAACTACATCGCATTCTGTGACTTTCCCGAACGCCTCAAATTTTTTACGGAGGTCAGATGCTTTGGACTCTGGATTCAGGTTCCCAACAAATATCTTCACCATGAGTGCGTCAGAAGTGAAACCAAGTTGTAATGGTTGCGCTGTGCAACGCTAGTTTCAACACCTATTGAAAGAGTATAACAAAATCGGTGATTTCAGTTTGATCTGATTGACTGAATATCTGAATAAAAAACCTTGTTTGCTTCATCTCTTGAAGTAATATCTTTAAACTTTTATTCTAAGTGTTTCCATTAGGCATTTTCACCATTAATATTTATATATATGTATATCATAAACTGCCGCTAACAGGTAATTCTTTTTCAGTTCACTAATTCCTTTAAGTGGCACTTTGAGGCTCCTGGAGAATTCCGACACAATGAACCCAGCTATTATCCTGTTGCTAATTAAGCAATTTTGAGTGGGTTAGAAGCTAGGGGGCCTTTTCACTTACATCATTAGTCAGGCTACATTTTGGGAAAAATAAGCATTTCATCATTAGTTGACTTTATACTCCTTTTCTCTCTTCTAAGAAATTTATATTTCTTCTAAATATACGTAAATTATAATCTGGTGAAAGTCATTTTCGCATGTGAATTTGTGAATTTCCACATGTCATCTGTCTTCATTTTCCATACCATAAGCCACATTTTTCGACGCTGATTTGATACCTGTAGATGGTGGACAAAAGTTTATTAGAAGCCAGATCTGCTAAGACCATAGGCATTTTATCGCAGATTTATCTACATAGTTCACCTACTCGGAATTCTACTTCGAGGCTACCACTGCTTCCTCCCGAAAAACAAATTAGGGTTGGAGGTCTCATTCGTACTGGATAGTTTATCTTAGCAAGTGCCACACACCTTGGCAAGTCTCGTCCCAACAGCTGTAACTTGGTATCTTACATCAGGCCATCAGGACTGCCTGCTCACCGGACTATCAGGTTATCAGTCAGGCAGAGGCCAGCAATGCGTGGGGAATATATGTAGAAGATGGTGATTACACACCCGGCAATTATAAGGACCTAAGCTAGTTTTACACTTGGATCTTGTTTCTACCTTCAGGATATTATACGTGTGTTTATCGTCTATTACTGTTTGTGTTTAGTTTTGAACTCGTTCCTTCTCATTAGATGCCAAAATTATGTATTCAAAAGCATTACGCACTTTGAGTATCAACTGCTATGATTATCGAATCAAGGCGGTTATCATCCTCCATTTTTCTTCAGTGATTTGATATTTGAAACAACACTGGTTTCACTTAATTGATTGCAAGGTCAAAATGAAAGTACTACAAGAATCTCAGAGTACACATGCGAATTTCATTCTCCTAAGCCGTATTTTGTGGAAACCTTCCTAAATTATTCCCAGAGATCTAACTAATTGCCCCCAGGGTTTCTGAGGTGGCTAAACGTATATGATCACTACAACATGAAGGAGCACTCAAAACACCAGATTCATTATCCCTAAATGCCATTGAAAATAAGATTTACAATTTTATGGTATTACAAATGTGCACTGTGAATGCAAGCACCTTCAGGAAAAGTCATCTCAGTCCGGTTTCCCAAAAACCTTAAGGTTCACTAACTTACGTGTTGCTATTATGTTTCTTAAACTTCAAGGTAACATGATCTTAATCAGAAGATTCGAATCCAATACCACAGCCCATTACAAAGCACACTGTCTAAGTGGGAAACTACATCGCAGCACTCCTGTTACCATTTCGGAGGTTAGTCGTGTTAATAAACCATCAACCAGTATCTGAAGTAACTATGAACCGACTGTACAACTTGCCTCCATACCAATACTACTCAAGACACTTAGATATTGGTGTCCATGATGCCATATGTGTACGAGAAGATAATGAAGTGGTGAGCACTGTAATAAATAAGTTTAGCGATAGCGGCCTGTCATTAATCTTAAGGATGAATACTCCGTTTTTAATAGGCCTTCACAATATAAACGCGTCAACAGACCCACGCCAAAAGTAAGGAAACTCTTACTGAATGCAGACATGGGTGTGATTTATTAGCACATGGAGTTTTTGGAATATGTATGCCACAAAATCAAAAGTTCCTCCCATCGAAACAAATTTTAACACCATGTTCGGCTGGTTATAATAAGTACTATAGAAGGGCAGGTGTTGAACTAAATGGTAGCTTACTGGACAGATATTGCAATCCCATCCAACCTAAATTTTCCTCTAGTTCAAAACGTTATCAAATCTAGTTTTTAAAAGTCACACCTGTGGCCTGTCATGAGAGCTGCAATACCACTAGGCATATCGAATGCCACAAGGTTAAACACTAAATTTGTCATTAGACGAATGATACAATAACTGTCATATGCCAGCGTTAGCTTCACAATGTCTGTAGAGAGTGGAGAAGCTTGATACGGCTGAAATCAGTGAAAACACGTCCTCACAGACGAAAAGTAAATACGCTGCCATATAATCATATCAGCTGCGAAACCACGACTACCTTGTCAAGGTAGAAAATCCATTAGGGCAAAATTTTTCACCATTAAATATTGCACTCTTTGGAACCAACTACCACGTGAAATTAGATGTTGTGAAAACCCCGATGGGTTCAAATGGAGCCTATAAAGACACATTAACATGTTCACCGAAGCTCGTCTAAAAGATTACAACTGCTGGTAGAATGGAAGACGAAAGCCAGTCCAGTCCTCAGTCCAGTCAACTACATCTAACTCGACTCTACTACACGCAGCGAAAGTTCAACAAATTTACTGATTTTCTATTCTCTATAATCTTCACTAAATTGTGTTGGCATAAGTAACTCTGGAAATAATTATATTAGCAACCACACCTTTTTAATATTTTACATATAGATATAATCAATAATACACCGCTATTTTTGTGCCGAAATGACTACACTCGGTCAATAACCACCTTTTCTCACATACTTTTCCAAAACGTATAATTCTATAACATTTCGCAGGATTTTTTCCACAGCATAAGTTGATGAGTTACTTTGCAATGTCTGACGTATACTATATGGAAGTCAGTCACGAAAATTCAGCATAACTAGTTCTGTTAACCAGCTGTTTCCTACAGGATCATTATAAATAATTTTATCACTAATGGTTCCCCTACCCATTTCACTCTGCTAAATAGACTATAACTTAGTTGCTGTAATACTAACTACTTCTATACTTCATAATTTTTAAGGGAAACTTCATTTTCTAGTCGTTTGTAACAAACACTTGTATGTATGTATAAAGATAATACTGCCGAGAATGTCCTCAGGTATCACTGTATCTGGTAGCCTGGTGGGAAGCAATCGTCACAAGAGCTATCAATGTGCAGCATACTGTATGATTGGGACGGGCTCGAGGCAATGCAATGCTGCAACTACAGTTATTACAAAATATCCAAGAGCTTAACATCAAAAAGGAGGGAGGGTGGAGCATGCTGATCAGCAGATATGGTAGTGGTCACAAATGTGAATCGCTCCGATCTGCAGGACAGCAACATATATTTTTTGACAGCTCGAGAATTAAACTTTAGTCTGGACTCTCAACAAAAAAATTAATAAAGGTTGTACAGATCTAAGTTATAAAACGTGCTTTTGCTCCTACCATCTACAAGCCTGTTCAGCTTCTTGTCAAGATGCTACCTATTGGGCGCTACAGAAATTCGTGAGACACTTTACAGGTCAGCTTGTTCTAAGGCTTCTAATCTTCCAGATCTTCGAATTCACTCCTCACTTAAATATCACTCACCTACCTCACAATAATCTTTTTATTTTACGCACTATTATACTCTATCTGATCTTAACTACCTAGGCCTTTATTGAGGCTAAAACTTGCTCTTTGTTCATATTTGTTGCTTGCCCAAAGTCTGGTTGCTTTGATTAAAAACACGACAACACCAATGTGTGAACAAAGCTATATCTTCATCAAAAACATCATATTTTCCTTGCTTATATCAATATGGTTAGCATCATACATTGCAAATGTATACTCTCATTTCAAGTACAATATAGCTTCTTCTTGTATTTATCTTATTAATATATTTCCAATAATGTATTATTCATAATCGCATTTTATACCATTTTGCAGCTGCGCAGAATTTTCTCCTCTTCCTGAAATAGCGTTCATTCATGTGGCGGCATAGCACTCACCCATATATTCGCTGTTCACTGGTTGGCCATAACTATCAGCAGGAAACGGAACGAAGTTTGGGTTATTGTTCAACTTTGATGGTGACTTTAGTAAACAGTTTACAATCTAACATTTATGAGAACCTGTTCTGATTGCTTGTACGATAATTGAACAATTCAAACTTTTGAAAACGTATTCATTTATGATACTTCAGGATTGTAATTTATAACACATCTGATCGTGCCTGTAAAAATGGCATGCATTTCTTGTAAACTTACCTGTTTATACGAAATATAAATCATTTTTATGATAAAGCATGTTTCTGAAGGAGCTGTACAGTCCTTAAAGTAATAATATTCATTTTCAAATTTGATGCAAATCATATTATTCTTACTGTCATAATTAAGACAGTTTTAATGAAAATGTAATTTCAATTGGACACCGTGATTTGTTTATGCACAACCAGACTCTAAGAGAGAAGGGAATGTAAATGAATTATCAACTAAATAAGTAGCCTGAACTTACAAGATTTATCGGAACATATTTTCGCTCAGGTAAAAATTGATATGAAATACGCACATGGCTGTTTAGTCGGAATTGGGACTGAAAAACCCTAAAATGTGGAATCTACTGGCTTAAAATAAGTCTCACGAGTCTCCGCAGTGATCAGGCTATCGAATCTCGACAAGAAGCTGGGAAAAAGGTAGATGTATTGGGCAGAAGCATTATCTGTTATTTAGATCTAGAAAACCACCACTATTGTCCAAGAAAAAAGTCCGAACTCATGTTCAAACCTTGAGTCATCAACGTGAACATTGCTGTCCAGTAGGTTGGAACGGTTAAAGTGTTGCCACCACTGCCATTTCAACCGATTGGTATGCCCCATCCTTCCTCATTTTCGAAGTGCTTGGCTTTGGGATTTCTATTAAAATAATTCTAGCA